CGAGTGGAACCTGCTGCGTCCCCCCCTGGGGGTCGGGGGTCGCGGCGCGGGTGCGCCTGTGGCCAGCGCGTCGAGCGGGCGTGCGGAGCTCTGCGAAGAGGGGGGGTCCTCCCCCAAGTAGTCAGAAGAGTCAGAAGAGTCATCGTCGTCGTCCTCGTCCTCGTTGTCGTCCTCGTCGTCGGCGTCGTCGTCGTGCTCATCGTCGTCGCCGTCGTCCTCGCCCCCGTCCCCGTCCTCGTCCCTGTGGTCGTCGCCCTCCTCGTCGCCCCCGTCCTTGTCTTCGTCGTCGTCGTCGAGGGCCTCGACGGGCCTCCAGACGCTTCCAGAGGTACCGGGAGACCTCCTGAGGCCTCCGGAAACCTGTATGGACCTTCAGAGGCGGCCGTCGTCGTCGTCGTCGTCGTCGTCGTCGTCGTCGTCGTCGGTCGTCGTCGTCGTCGTCGTCGTCGTCGTCGTCGTCGTCGTCGTCGTTGTCGGTCGTCGTCGTCGTCGTCGACGTCGTCGTCCGGCGCTCGAGCGCCCTCGTCGTCCATCGGACACCAGCGCAGAATAATGCTCCAAGGAGGGTATGGAGGCAAAACAATCTGTGGTGCTGCACGCGCGCACTGCGCAGCGCATAGGCGATGTGGTGCGCGCGGCTGCAGCGGCGCATACAATGCTGCGCGCTGTGGTGCTTGGTGTGACGCGCACAGGTGCTGTGGCGCCGGAACCGCACGGCGGGGGGGTGGCGTTAAGTTGTGCCCCCCTCTCGCCCCCCCCCCCCCCCCATCAGGCCTCCTATGGTGGCGAATTTGGAAATGCGCTCCTTGCGTCATCTGCACCTTCCGAACATATCTGGGCCGTCCCGAGGCGATCTTTGGGCACGCTTGGGTCTTTTTTATCCTTTCCAGAAGTATCGACCTTCTTACCTTCTCCTTGACGCCTCCTGCGGCGATGGGGATTGTGAAAACGAGAAGGATTGGCTGTGGATGCTACTGCTGCTAACGGCGTGCTTGGAGCGTCTGGGAGCGTCTTGGAGCGCTTGGGAAATTTTGGGAGACCAGGAAGCGAGCTGTAAAGATCAGCTGGTGTCCACATGTTTTTTTGTTTTAAAAGGATCGTGAGGGTTGGATGGGTCGGTGGGAAAATCCGCATATGTGTGCCGAGTGGTAGTTGTTGTGCAGACTGGTGAGTGGTTAGGGTTAGGGTATTAGGGTCAGGGTATTAGGGTCGGGTGTTGGGGTTTGGGTGTGAAGGCTCGGGTTAGGTCGGTTGGGTTTGTGATGGGGTCTTTAGGGGGGGGGGTCGCGTCAGGATGCTCGGGCTAGAGCGTTTCTATGACTAGGGTTTTAGGGTGAGGGTGTCAGGGCTTGGGTGTTGTAAGGTTACGGTGTGAGGGTCATGGTGTTAATTCGGTGTCAAGTCACGGTGCCAGGGTGAGGGTATTCGGGTTAGTATTAGGGTCAGGGCAGTCGCCAATGGTGTTAGGATTGTTGTGTTAGAAGGTGTTAGGGTTCAGGCCATGGTGTTAGGCTGAGGGTGTTTGGGTTTAGGGTTGGGGCGGTTGGGTTAGAGGTAGGACGGTACCCCCCGCGAGGCCCCAAAGTGCTTCCTGACAGGCCCCAGTAGCTCTAACATCGAAGCCCGCATACGACCGCGTGCCACACCCGTCCCAACCCGATCATATACCGAGCCGAGGAACCACTTAGTATGATGACCTTCAGAAAGTCAACATACATACATGGCACCCCGCAGTTGTGGATAAGAGTGAGGCGGCGGCGAGGACGTCGGCAGTCTGCGAGGCTTTGAAGAAGCCCATCGCAGGCGCGTTATTTTTACAAATTGCACAACGAGCCCGTCGTAGGCGCCGGCTTTTGCGTTAAAGCAATGTGGGTCGGTCGCGTGTGGGGCGCGGGTTGGTCGCGAGTGGGTCGCGGGTGGGTCGCGGGCCGGGTCGCGGGTGGGTCGCGGGTGGGTCGCGGGCGGGTCGCGGGCGGGTCGCGGGGTGGGTCGCGGGTGGGTCGCGGGTGGGTGCGGGGTAGATCGCGGATGGGTCGCGTGTGGGTCTCGCGTGGGTCGCGGGTGGGTCGACGACAGCATACATCAGACAACAAACACTAAGCAACAACAACAACAACAACAACAACAACAACAACAACAACAATTACTAGCACGTGGGGACACTCCGTTCTCACCAGTGCCAGGGTTTTCATAGGAGGCCGGCAATACCCCCACTTTGTGGGGGGGCCGGTTCAAGGTCTACCAAATTTCCAAACGACTCTTCGCCACCACCCACACCCAGCTTCCCGCCCTATGACGTTCGGACACTTCACTTCGTGGCATGCGGACGACCGTGGCTACTATTCAGGGCCCCGCGGCCGACGACGACGGCGTGCGCGCGCGAAGAAAAAACGAATGTGTCCCGCATGGTATTATTTGACAGGGATGATGGCCCTGGCAGGTGCGCAACCGTTGTTGCAGAAGTTCGAAAAAGTTGCTCGCAAAAACCCGTTTGACAGAAATGTTTAAAAAGTGTTGGGTTTCCTACGAATCCGCAAGAGCGCGCGGGATGAAATTTTGATTTTTTTTTGTAAAAACAAAAACATTGTTTTTTATGTTTTTATGTTAAAATCGCTACGAAAACTAAGGTTTTGGAAGGATTTCGTCTTGCGCGCGCGAATGTCCACTTTACCTTTTTTTTTGCAAGGGATTCTTGAAGTTTGGTTATGTTAGAACAAGAAATGTCCACTTTAGCTTATTTTTTGCAAGGGAAAGCGGGCCGTAACAAAACAACCGGATCCGGACCAACCCGTTTTGCCTGAGACTTCCTCACGAAAATGATGAAAATGTGGCTGCGGCCTAGGCGCGGCGGGGGGGTCGTGCACCAGGGGCCCCAACAATAATTATTCTTTAAAAGTAATAATGTTCAACAACAACAACAACAACAACACCACCACCAACAACAACAACAACAGCAGCAACAACAACAACAACAACAGCAGTAGCACCAACAACAACAACACCAGCAACAGCAACAACAACACACAACAAACAACGAACAACGCAACAACAATCCGCACCGCGAAACCTCACTTCAGCCACGCGCCCAGGGGCAGTGAATGACCGTTCGGCCCCTCATTTTAATACATACATATATGTGTATACACACATGGATACACGTGTATAGTTATGATGAAAGAACAAGAGAGCGAGAGAGGGATAGAGAGAGACAGAAACATAACGAGAGAGAGAGAGAAACAAAGAGAGAGAGAAAGAGAGAGAGATGGAAAACGAAAGAGAGCGAGAGAGAGAGATTACGACAGAGCGACAGAGAGAGAGAGTAAACATGGAAGGGATAGTGGGGGAGAAGAGCATCAGTACGTATGTATGTATGTGTATATATAAATATATTGTTGCAACACATGTATGTATGTATGTATGTATGTATGTATGTATGTATGTAGGAAAATGAATTCAACGCGTTCCGTAAGTAGGCTTTGCCCAGGGGTTGAGATTTGTTTGTGAAGAATCATTGTGTGCGGTCGCCAGTTTTCACCGGGGTTCCTCCGGGATTCTTTGGTCGTTCATAAGGCGGTTCCCCGGGGTTCTTTGCTTTTGTTTCCTTAAAGCGTTGCCTGGGTTCCTCGGAGAGGTCTTCCTCGGGTTCCCAGGCTTCCTCCTTGGTCTTGCTGTCATGCTGTTTTTATAGGGGCCTTCTTCGGGTCTCCCAGGTTCCTTGGTATTGTTCCCAACCACCTTGTGGTGTTGGGTCTTCGTTTTGAAGAGACGGTCCCCGCGTTCCTCTCCTCTGCTCCCCTCCTCCCCCTCCTCCCTCCTTCCCCTGATCGCCTATGCCCTCCGCGTGTCTTTGTTCCGGCACGCCCCTCACACGTTTCGTGGCCCCACAGGGAACCCCACCGAAGGCCCAAATGCCAGCGTTCGCATGCGGCCACCGCTCCCATCTTGGCACACCCCTCACGTTTCGTGGCCCCCTGGGGGGCCCCACCAAAGGCCCGAATGCCAGCGTTCGCATGCGGCCACCGCGCGCATTTTGGCACCTCTCACACGTTGGGGAGCCCCATATGGAGCTCCACCGAACGCAATGCATACAATGACGGTGCCCACAACTGCAGATGGTGTTTTTTTCGCCAGGCTATGGGTTCTTCGGTCCCGTTTCTGTCCTGTTTTTGGAGAGTCCTTCCTCGGGTTCCCCGGGTTTCTTGGTCTTGTTTCTTTACTGGTTTTGAAGATGCCGATGCTTTCCTCGGGTCTCTCGGGTTCTTTGGTCTTGTATCCTTACGGTTTTGCAGAGACTTTCCCTGGGTTCCTTGGTCGTGTTTTTTCCTTACCTAGGCTCTGCCTAGAAGGGTTCTTATTCGGTACACTTAAAGGGCCGGGCAGTAAAACTCGCCCCGGGCGGTTCCCCCGGCATCCGCCCCGCGGTTCCCCCAGTGATGTTCCCTCAGCTTGGCGTTGCTTATCTCATCTTAGCTTAGCTTCTTTCATCTTAGCTTAGCTTCATCTTAACTTAGCTTAGCTTCATGTAGATGTTGCTTTCCTAGATCCTCCAACTCCTAGGTAGGGTCGCACTGGGATAATCTATCGTGTTGAAGGAGACCTTCTTCGGGCTCCCCTGGTTCCTTGGTCTTGTTTCTTTACTTTTTTTGAGGAGGTCTTCCTCGGGTTCCCCGGCTTGGTCTTGTTTCCGACCAGCAAGTGTAAGCAATGCCGAGCAACGCAGCAACGCCAAGCAACGCCAAGCAACGCAACGCAATGAGCGACACTGCAACGCCACACGAGGCAATGCAATGCCAAGCATTACCGCTTAGGAAGCGCTCCCCTAATTTGGGTCGCGCAGGGTCGATGTATACACATATGCATGTAAGTATGTTTATATATATACATGTGTACAAACGTACACATGCATGTAACCTCATACGTAGAAACAGAGAGAGAGAGAGAGGGAGAGAGAGAGGGATATTGAGACGGTGAGAGAGCGAGAGAGAGAGAGAGAGAGAGAGGCCTGGGGCTACCTGACGCTGGTCTGCGCTGGCGCAGGCGAGCCCCCTCCCCACCCGCGCACACGGCGGCCTCCGCTCTTTGCGCCTACCTTCCCCGCGGGAGCTGCGTCGGCAACAGCGGCGACTGCTGCTGCTTCCTCGTCCCCTCTCTGCCTTCCCCAACGGCCTCCTCCAAGAGGCAGGAGAACACGGAGGAGGAGGAGGAGAAGACATATAGGAGGAGGAAGGACAAGGGGGAGGATGAGTAAGAGGAGGAGGAGGAGGCGAAGGAGGAGAAGGAGGAGGAGGAGGAGGAGGAGGAGGAAGGAGGAGGAGGAGGAGGATGAGGAGGAGGAGGAAGAGGGATGATGAGCCGGAGGGAGTGCGAGGAGGAGGAGAGGAAGAAATAGGAGGCATGAGGATGGCGGACGATGTAGGACGAGGAGTTGCCTGCAGCGCTTGCGCTAGACGCATCTTGCTTGATCTCAAGCGCACGGCCCCCTGTGGGTGGCGGGCTCTGGCAATGGGCGCCACTCGGTCCAGGCGTGGGCACGAGGTCCACTGGGGCTCTGTGCCTTGCTCGGCAGTGGACACCACGCGGTACACCCAGAGATGCGCGCCCGTAGACTGATGGTGAGGGGCCCTCGCCTGCCAGCGTCGTGACTTGCACGGAGGTCTTCGTGGCCTTGCAGGATGTAGGGAAGCCACGTGGCCATCGCCGGAGAGTTCAGCACGGAGTCCAGCGAGCCTGCCGTCTCGGGATGCTTTGGACGGCACTCGCGGCAGAGTGGTCGCGCCGAGCGAATGTACCATCAGGCCGTAGGGCCGCGTCATCGGCTTCTACGTGGTCTCAACCTGCCTTGGGGTTGCGAAAGCCATCGTGCTCCACGGCTTGGACGCCTTCCTCGCTTCCCCGTCGAGCTTTGACCGATAGCGCTGCTCTGATCGCGAGTTGCTGATCGTGACTTGCCTCTTGCCCTCGGAAGTGGCCCTGCCCCCTGTCCTCTACCCGTCTGTTTGGAGGGGCATTTGCCAGCGTGGCATGCTGCGAGGGAGGCCCATGGAGGCCTCCGACTCCTTTGACCTCACGTGGCAGCTGTCCACCACGAAGGCGGAGAGGGACATTCTCGACGCCTGTCGGGGTGCTCCACCAGTCCGAGGTGCTCGCTGACATGCGTGGGCGCCTGCACTCGAGAAGGTCACCGTGTGCGCGTCGTCTCCTCCTCGCTCTCCGCGCGTTGCCAAGGGCAACGCGTGGCACCAGAGCGCAGCGATTGCGCTCAAGGGTGTGGCTCCGATCGTCAAGCCTCTTCGGCGGCGTGCCGCGCCCAGTGCGCTCGAGAAGCTGGGATCCTGGCTGGACGCGCGACGGTGGTCGTGGACGATTTGGTGCTGCAGAAGTGGGAAGGCCCTGCGCGCGTTGAGCAGGACCTCGTCTCGTCCGCCAAGGCGGTAGCCAAGAACCCTGCGAAGGTAAAGCTCGAGGTGGTCAGGGCGCCAGAGACGGGGGGGCACAGCAAACGGGGGCACGGGGAGCGCCGATTTCCACGCTTTGCGATGCCCCCGCTTAGGGGGCCCTGGGCGCCGCAGACGGGGAGGAGGAGGGAGGAGGAGGAGGAGGAGGAGGAGGAGGAGGGAGGAGGAGGAGGAGGAGGGAGGAGGAGGAGGAGGAGGAGGAGGAGGAGGAGGAGGAGGAGGAGGAGGAGGAGGAGGAGGAGGAGGAGGAGGAGGAGGAGGAGGAGGAGGAGGAGGAGGAGGAGGAGGAGGAGGAGGAGGAGGAGGAGGAGGAGGAGGAGGAGGAGGAGGAGGAGGAGGAGGATGGAGGAGGAGGGAGGAGGGAGAGGGAGGAGGGAGGAGGGAGGAGGGAGGGGAGGAGGAGGGAGGAGGGAGGAGGAGGGGAGGAGGGAGGAGGGAGGAGGAGGAGGGGGGAGGGAGGAGGGAGGAGGGAGGAGGGAGGAGGGAGAGGGAGGGGGAGGAGGGAGGAGGGAGGAGGAGGAGGGAGGAGGGAGGAGGGAGGAGGAGGAGGGAGGATGGGAGGAGGAGGGGGAGGGAGGGAGGGGAGGAGGAGGAGGGGGGAGGAGGAGGGAGGAGGAGGAGGAGGAGGAGGAGGAGGAGGAGGAGGAGGAGGGAGGAGGAGGAAGCTCCCGTTTAGCGAAGCCCCCCGTGGCGGAGCCCCGAGGCTGTGGTGATGAAGTCTCGCAGCCCTCGCAAGCGCGCCAAGGCTCGGAGCCAACGTGCAGCGGAAGCCCTGCAAAGCGCGGCTGGGTCGGAGGTGGACAGACCTCCTACTACCCTGACGCGTCGATTACGGAATTGGCCGTTTGCGGTTCGCGAGAGGGCGTCGCGGCCGTATTTTTGCGGGTCCAGGTCCGTCGGTTTCGGTCCCAGGCCGTTTCCATTAAGGGGAGGTTTACTAAAGGGAGGTCTGTCCACCGCCGACGGGGGGCCCCGGCGGCGTGGCGCACGCGCCACCTCTGTGCATTCCTCGCGCCCGAGGCGGGCGGACGGCCTGCTGGGCCAAGCCGCCTCGCAGCGAGCAGGGCAGAGCTCGCGCCCCTCGGGCTCGACGGCGTCTGGGGCTCCGCCGAGGGCGGCGCGCAGCCGCGAGTCCGTCCGCCGACGCGCCGTGCCGGCGCATCCTGTCTGTCATGTGTGGCGTCACTCGCGCGGGACTGAGCGAGGCGGAGTCGGGGCAGGTCGTTCAGGAGGGGAAAGCACAAACACACTCAATCGTCCATTCCCAAGAAGATACGGGAAAACATGGGAAGTGGGGGTAAGACGAGAATCCCTTCAACTATGCGAAACTAGGGGACATCCTGGGATTTGTGTGTATTTATGTGTGTGTCCTTGGCCCATTTAGCCATATGGAAGCAGTGGCTGCAAGAGGCGCACCTGCGCAGCACATGAAGTTGGAGTGCTTCAGGCTCCTGGAGCTGGGGCCAAGCGAAAGGGCCTCTTTGCGCCGAGTTTCTTGCTGCGCAGGAGCGGCTACGATGTGGGGCCCTTGGACGACCGGGCCAGGACCAGCCGAGGCAAGTTGAACACCACTGAGGTGTGGCCAGGATACTCAGAGAAGCTCCTGGCCAAGAATATTCACCTTTGGAAGCTGGCCCAGGTCGCCAGGGACACCCGCGCGGACAACGCCCACGGGGCCTTCGTTTCAACCTTGGGTGTTGGCTGCGGCACGGACAAGGGACTCCTCGGGAGGCAGAGACGTGGCGTTCCCGAATTGGCGAGGAAGTGGCTTGCGCGAGGTAGGTCCTCGTCAAACGGAAGGTGGCCGAGCAGCAGGGAGTGCGGCACTTCCGTGAGGCTGTCCCGGACGCCGCGCCGTCTGCTGTGCTCGACAGAGATGGACACCCTATAGCAGAGGCGCCTGACATGTCCATCGCACCGACCCGCCTACACTCCCTGACGAGACCAAGCTGCTTCGGTGCAGGGGCGGCATCGCCGTGAGCGCGCTGGTTGAGCGGCTGCCGCTGCCGGGGAGCCACTGCGGCAGCGGCACCGGCCCTCCGACGATCTCCTGGCGGGCTCGCAGTCGATCCGGGCAGGCGGGGGCCTGCCCTTCCATGGAGGACGAGCCGAAGGAGGAGGAGGAGGAGGAGGAGGAGGAGGAGGAGGAGGAGGAGGAGGAGGAGGAGGAGGAAGAATAATTGAGAAAAAGAGGAGGAGGAGGAGGAGGAGGAGGAGGAGGATGATGATGATGATGATGATGATGATGATGATGATGATGACGATGATGATGATGATGATGATGATGATGATGATGATGATGATGCTGCTGCTGATGCTGATGCTGATGATGATGATGATGATGATGATGATGCTGCTGATGATGATGATGATGATGATGAGGAGGAGGAGGAGGAGGAGGAGGAGGAGGAGGGAGGAGGATGGAGGGGGGCGAGGAGGAGGAGAAGGAGGAGGTGGAGGAGGAGGAGGAGGAGGAGGAGGAGGATAAGGAGGAGGAGGGCGGTGCTGCCTTGGAGGCGGGGCGGGCGCCGTCGGTCTCGGCGTGTGGCGTGTCGGCGCCGCTTCCCTCCCCGGAAGACGTCGGTCCTGGGGTGAAGTCGGCTGCGCGCATCGCTCGGGCACCTCTGCGCGGGCCTCTGCAAAGCATCTCAGAGGAGGAAAAGGCACCCATACTTCTACCCTTTCCTCGTTTCCCCTTTGTCGGGCCTTCTGGGAGGCCCTCGTCGCCACCGCTGGATTCGTTTCGAAATCCTGGTCAGAACGCACACCAGGAGAGGTCCAGGGAGTAGCGGTATCGGTACCTTCTGGTTGCCGCAGGGCTGCCTCCTCTCCCCCAGGCTCGGTCCCGCCAGCTGACGCGCATACCTCGACGCGTCTTGGGTCGTCCAGGGGGTGATGGGGCCCGGGCGGGCGGCAACTACGTTAGCGACGGCTTCGAGGGCTGGCGTGTGGCAGCGTGCGCGATGGACACCAAGGCAGAGGGGAGTAGGATGAGGTGGCGGTGGAGGATGCTTTCACTCTAGGGCAGATGGTGCGCTGTGCTAGCCAGCGGACCCGATAGCCTAGAGACTATGTCTTGAGGCCCCTGTTTATCACAACGCCCAGCCGCGCTGCCAGCAGGAAAAAGACTCTGCCCAGATGGGACCTCGCCCATGAAAAGCACCCGCGGTGCCACAAGAGCACACGCGGCCGCCAGCGCGGCGGGGCCTGGAAGAAACACGCAGGCCGGCAGCTCAGAACGACGCCCCACAGCGCCGCCCTCGCGGCTCAAACAATGCCGCGCTCAGACATCGAGGCCAGCGCCCCCACCTCCACCCTTGGCGACCTGGAGGGCCACCTAGCCCGAGTAGGCCCGCAGACGGGCTAACGGCGACGTAGGTAACGCCGATGTAGGTTTCGGTCGTGTGGGAACGTGTGGCTCGCGCTTTCCTGCATTTTGTTGTGCCGTGTTCGCTCGATCCGTTTGCAGATTGGAGATGTAGGAAAGTGTGGTTCGTGATTTCCTACAATCTTTGGTTCCCAGCATCACCGTGAAGCAACATCGCCGATAGCCCAGCCTTGGTAGGCACGGGGCCCAGAACCACCCCCACAAGCCCCTTTCCACAGGGAGCCAGGTGGCACGTATCCACGGGCCTCCCCCGACCACTAGGTAGTGTGGGGAACCCGGGTGCAGCACACTGGCTTTAGCGGCTTTAGGGCGGCCAGAACCCCAGCGTGCTACTCGTTGCGCACGCTAACCGCCACCCGATCCAGGATGGTTTTGGCTTCGCACGGCAGGAGTGACCGAACCGCGACGACCGAGACTGCCCCCACTGGCCGCAACCGGCCAAGAGGAGACAGCCCACAGAGCCCAGGGCCCAGCCCATCCCACCACGGCGCAGACCCTCAACGGCTGCGACTGCACTCTTTCTTTACTCTTTCTTTCCCCATGGGGCTAACCCAGGGTGACGACCGGGCAGCTACCTGCCTGTTTGCCTGGCAAGGGGGCCCAGTGACACTGGTGCCATGGTGGTGGAGGACAGGAGGAGACCTAGGAGGAGGAGGAGGAGGAGGAGGAGGAGGAGGAGGAGGAGGAGGAGGAGGAGGAGGAGGAGGAGGAGGAGGACCAGTGCAATCCCAAGACTCATCAACGATATTGTAGTAAACCCTCCCTCCAAGTTCTCTCTTCAGAGGCCCCTACAAGTTTTCATTTTCACATCGTGTCCAAACACCATACCTGGCGCGTTAACTGTGATTCATCCTTGAAGCTGTAAGCTCTTTAAGCGAATGTGCGCGGCGCTAAGGCGAGAGCCACATCTTAAAAAGGTACCTGCCTCCATTTGTGAATCTCGTGCAATTGTTGTTTAACAGATGTCTGAGGCGCCAAGGCGAGGGCCACATCTGAGGCGCACCGCCCTCCATCCGTGAATCTCTTGAACAAGTTCAACACGAATGTGCGCGGCGCGAAGGCGAGAGCCACATTTTGTGAGCGACTCGCCCTTTATCCGTGAAGCTGTTGCAAATTTCAGTCTTAAAGGACGTTCGTGGTGAGGATGTCTCATGCGACACGCCGGCCCGCCCTACTGACACGCCTCGGTGTGTGGCAGGGAGGTGTTCCTTAGAAGTTTGAAGGTCGGATAGGGATGCGGCATAAAGGAGTGTGGAACCAATGCTGAATCTGGCGATGCTACCTATCGTAGATAACATCTCCATTTCCACGATTGGCATCACACTGCCATCTTTCCCACGTCCAGAATTTGGAACACGAATGGAGGAGGAGGAGGAGGAGGAGGAGGAGGAGGAGGAGGAGGAGGAGGATAATGATGATGAGGAGGAGGAGTGTAGGAGAAGGAGGAGGAGGAGGAGGAGGAGGAGGAGGAGGAGGAGAGGAGGATGAGGGGAGGAGGAGGAGGAGGGTGGAAGGATGAGGGAGGAAGGGAAGGGGGCGGGGGAAAGGGGGATGGGTGCGGAGACGGCAGGGCGGGGGGGAGGGAGGAGGAAAGATGAAGTTGGGAGGATAAGTGAGGAGGAGACTTGATGAGGGGGGATGGAACCCGGGGAGATGAGGAGGGGGCGAGCAGGGGACCTGGAGTGCTCCGAGCGGCGAGGGGAGAGGGCCCTCCCGGAGATTAAACGAGCGCTCCAGGACTGCTCCTGATGGACTTCATACCTGTTGTTCAGGAGCCTCTCTTCTTTGAGGGCGGTTTTAGGAGGAGGAGGAGCTAGGAGAAGACGAGGAGCAGGAGGAGGACCAGCGTACACCCATCATGCGTTAACGATGCTGCGCTACACTCTCCCATCCAAAGTTCCCTCCTCAGCTATTCCTGCAAGTCGTCATTCCTTTTACAAGAGAAGCCCCATCAGAATTTCCAGCACCCGATGGGCCTGCCCATTGAACATCAGTGACTTCGAATCTTTCTGGCAAGTATCGCGAGGCATGCGGTTCATTGTAGAGTCGTGCGCGCAGTGCAGCGAGGTGCCCAGCGAGATCCCCGCTTTGTGAAACACGCGGCCGCCGCCCGTTTATGTAGCCGTTGCGCGATGTGACGCTTCTGGTCATGAGCTTCGAGGAATTCCAAACGGTATCCCCCTTTGGAAAATGAAGCCATTTTGAAAAGGAGCCGTATGGTTATATCAGGATCCATTGTGAAAGGACCCATTTTGAAAAGGAGATTCCAGCTGGATATGTTACCCGGCTTGAAATGAAGCGAGTTCTGCAGCAAGGACCCCATTTTGTAAAGGAGCCATCCGCCACTCCTGTATCGGCGGCGAGCGACGGGGGGGAAGTGACGAAGAGATGGCATTCTTAGAATGCGGAAGGACTTCTCAGAACCCCCCGCGGCTTCTGGGAAGTTGTTTGTCTTTTCGGGGGAGGCTTCGAAAATTGTTGACGCTTCGCGTATCCCCATCAGTCGCGTCCGCGGCCCGTTCGCGACCTCCCGCCGCTGGCGCTTCCGCCTGTGGCTGTAAAAAAAAAGTATAAAAAAGTATCCCCATCAGTAATACGCACAGGGTGCCATGTGAATGAGTCCGCCGCGTTCTGGGCCTCCTGTGCTCCGTTCCGCCTCTTTTCCTATTCCCCTGTGCTGCGCCCCTTGTGGCTGCTAGGGTACAGGTTCAGCGTCCGTTGCTGCTCCATTTGCTTGTGCAGTGCCTCCAGGTGCCCTTGGTCCGCTGGCAGCTGCCCAGTGGTCCCTGCTTGCTTTCTGCCTCTGGCGGCGGGCCGCGTAGCTTCCGCCTGCGCACTCTGCCGCTCTGCTCTCTTTCTCCCGGCCACTGGTCAGGTTTCCCCACCTGTGGGTCTGGCTTCTGCTCGTTTGTTGTCCAGCCGTGGCAGCTTCTCTACCGCTGGCATTCGCCCAGTGGTCTTTGCATGGTAATCATCTGGCATTGCGCCCCATTGCCTCATTCCGCCCTCTGGACTTTTCCTTGCGGGCCGCAAATAAAAAAAAATATCCCCATCAGCAGTAGCTAATTAGGCCGTTACCGCGTCCCGGAACGCTTCTGACTCCGCCTGCGCCTTCGTTTGCGGACGCGACCGAAAAATATATCCCCATCGGCCCATCCGGACACGATGCCCAGGAGAGTTGATGTGATCAGGGAGATGGGCGAGCATGCAGAAGCACAGTGGGCGGGGGAAGCCGTCCGGTTCCCCCAAGAGGGGGAGGGTGGTGGAGGAGGAGGAGGAGGACCAGTGTAAGCCCAAGAGTCATCAACGATGTTGGAATACACCCTCCCTCCAAGCTCCCTCCTCACATGCCCCTACAAGCGTTCATTTCCACTGGGGGAACTGCCTCGTTAGAAGACAACCGTTTGAAGACCCTGAAGCATGCCAAATTTTTTCTAGGGGCTCCGACGCCGCGGGTCAACCTGACTGTTGCGTCGTGACGATCATGAATCGTGCCAGAACGCCATTCCTGGGAATTCAGCACCGCGAGCCAACGTGACTGTTGCACCCTCATAATAATGAATCTGTCCAAAACACCGTTTCTGGTACGTTGACAATTGGAATCCGTGAAGCCCGCGCAGTGCTGAAAAGGAGTATGCGCGGCGCTAAGGCGAGCGCCACATTTTGAAAACGAGCCACCCTCAATCATGTAAACCCATGCGAATTTGAAAAAGGGAATGTGCGCGGCGCTAAAGCGAACGCCACATTTTGAGAAGGAACATATTTTTGTGTAAACGAATGTGCGTGGCGCTCAGGCGAGAGCCACATGTCGAAGAAAACCCGCCCTCAATCCGTGAAACCCCTGCACATTTTTAGAAAGGAATGCGCGCGGCGCTCAGGCGAACGCCATAATTTGAAAAAGGAACCGCCCTTAATCCGTGAAGCTCTTGCAATGTTCAAACCACTGCGCGCGGCGCTGAGGCGAGAACCACATTCAGAAAACGACAGCGCTTACACTTTCTGTCAAACGGATGTGCGTTGCGCTCAGGCGAAAGCCACATTTTGAAAAACGACCCGCCCCCAATCTGTGAAGCTCTTGCAAATTCTTAAAACGAATGTGCGCGGCGTTTGGGCTAGAACCACATTTTGAAAACGGCCCGCCCTCCATCCGTGACGCGGTTGCCAATGTTTAAGCTTCAGGGTCAGAAGTGGTGAGGAAGCCTCAGGCGAAACGCCCGGCCCGCCCTTTCGACCAGCCTCAGGGTGTGACAGGGAAAAGTTCTTTATAAGGAACAGGAATGGAGGAGGGCGAAGAGGAAGAAGGATGAAGAGACAGTGGACAAGGAAAAGGAGGAGAAGGAGGAGGAGGAGGAGGAGGAGGAGGAGGAGGAGGAGAAGGAGGGGCACCTTGGCGAGCCCAGGGTCGTCTTTGAGTGTCTTGGATGCCTCGGGCATCCTCTTGAGGCTTCTTGGGGGTCTCTTGGGAGCTTTTGAGGCTTCCTGGACGCCTCTTGGGCCCGCCTGGGCGCCTCTTGGGGTCCTCTTGGGGCGCTCTTGGGAGCTTGAGGGGCGCTCTTGGGGCCATCTTGGAGGACATCGATCAAGCATGAAGGGAACTTCAATTAGCCCCCCCCCTTGGGAGCTTCAAGATTCGCCTCCAGGGGCCCTCTTGAGGCGGCCTTGGAGCGCTCTTGGGCGCTCTTGTGGCCGTCTTGGGGCTCTGTTGGGCCTCTCCTGGGGCCCACCATCTTGGAGCCATCTGGAGGCCTCGGTTGGCCATCGGAAGCGGAAAGGCGAAAAAGCAACTCACATTGATTTTCCTTTTGTTTTTTGCAAGATTTTGGCCTCTTGGGGAACTCCTTGGAGGTCTCGGAGGCCTCTGAGAGCCGTCTTGGAGCGTTCTTGGGCTTCTGGGGCGTCTTGGAAGTCATCTTGAGACATCTTGCGCTATCTTGAGCCATCTTGGAGGTCATCTTGGGCTTTCCGAGGCCCCTTGAAGCCGTCTTGGGCCATCTTGGACGCTCCAGTTACCCGCCGCCCCCCCTTCCAGGTCGAGGGGAAGGGTAGGGGGGAGGGGTCAACCCTTCCCCGAAGGAGAATAAGGGATTTGGAAGAGGAAACTTCCTAAACCACCTACGCCCAAAGGGCTGGTGGGATTATTGACGCTTCGCTCATCCCCACCAGCCCATCCTGAAGCAGATCGCCAGGCGAGTTGCCTTGATCAGGGATGTGTAGAATAGTGCAGCGTAACAGCCGCCTTGGAAGCGTTTTCTCTAAGGCTTCTTGGAGCCACCTTGAGGCTCTCTTGGGGTCCTCGCTGAGCTTCTTGGGGCACTCTTGAGGCCCTCTTGCTCTCTTGAGGCCTTCTTGGGGCCCTCTTGGGGTTCGTTGGGTGGGTCTGGGAGGCCTCTTGGGACCATCTTGGCCCCCATGATTCAAAAGGAGGAGGGTAATACATTCAGCCCTCCCCCCCTGGGAAGCTCAAAAACGGCGTAGTGAAGCCCTCTTTGGGCGCTCTTGGGCGCTCTTGGGGCCCTCTTGGGGCCCCCTTGGCCTCTTGGGAGGTCCTTGGGGGGCTCGGAGGGCTTTTGAAACCGTCTTGGGTCCGTCTTGGGGCCTTTTGGGTGTTTGTCGGAGGCTATCTTGAGCCATCTTGAAGTATCTTGGGTAATCTTGGGGGCCATCGTGGGCTCTCTGAGACCCTCTTCGAGCCATTTTGGGTCATCTTGGACGCTCTAACCCCTTCGCCCCCCCCTCCCAGGCCCATGGGAGGGGGTAAGGGCAGGGGTCACGACTCCCTCCCCGCCCGCAAGCCGTCTCGCTCACTTGACTCCCCAGGGGGGTCTGGGCTGATGCCGGGGGAATCCAAGGGATCCAGGGACTCCCCAGGACTCTTATACATTCTTATAGTTTCCTATGGATTCCTGCAGATTCTGTTCCCAGAACACCATTCCCAGGCCACATTTTGAATGCCCGGAGCCAACTGTAGGCCACTTCGTGTTCTTTGTGTTCCCCGAACACCATTCCCAGGCCACATTTTGAATGCCCAGAGCCAACTGTAAGCCACTTCGTGTTATTCGTGTTCCCAGAACACCATTCCCAGGCCACATTTTGAATGCCCGGAGCCAGCTGTAGGCCACTTCGTGTTCTTCGTGTTCCCAGAACACCATTCCCAGGCCACATTTTGAATGCCTGGAGCCAACTGTAAGCCATTTCGTGTTATTCGTGTTTCCAGAACATCATTCCTGTACCATATCTTCATTGCCCAGAGCCAACTGTGGGCCACTTCGTGATCTTCGTGTTCCCAGAACATAAGTCCTGTGCCGTATTTTGAATGCCCGAGCTGAGGCAGGCTGCGGCCGAGGCAGGCTGAGGCCGAGGCAGGCTGAGGCTGAGGCTGAGGCACGCCGAGGCAGGCTGAGGCTGAGGCTGAGGCAGGCTGAGGCCGAGGCAGGCTGAGGCTGGGCTGAGGCCGAGGCAAGCCGAGGCAGGCTGAGGCAGGCTGAGGCTGATGCTGAGGCAGCTGAGGAGGCAGGCTGAGGCTGAGGCTGAGGCAGGCTGAGGCTGAGGCAGGCTGAGCTGAGGCAGGCTGAGGCTGAGGCTGAGGCTGATGCAGGCTGAGGCTGAGGCAGGCTGAGGCTGAGGCTGAGGCTGAGGCCTGAGGCTGAGGCTGAGCAGGCTGAGGCTGAGGCTGAGGCTGAGGCAGGCTGAGGCTGAGGCTGAGGCTGATGACTGAGGCAGGCTGAGGCTGAGGCTGAGGCTGAGCAGGCTGAGGCTGAGGCAGGCTGAGGCTGA